GATCGTGATAATGAGGTGAGCAGGAAGGACTCCTTACCCCCATTTCACAAATGGGGGAACCAATGAGGCTCAGAGAAGGGGAGTGACCCACCCAAGGTCACACAGCTAGGAGAAGGCAGAATGCAGGTCTTCCGGCACATGTCCGTGCCTCCCCCAACTCCCCACCAAGCCCCAAGGTCCAGTTGGCCCTGCCCCTGCTCCTGTGCCATCAGGGGCTAGAGGCAGTGCCTGAACCTGGGAGGATGGCGTACCTGGGCTGATTGGGGGCCAAGAGAGAACACGGCCAGACCATCCGCAGGGGCCTCCCAGGACACCACCTCCTCTCCCTCCCTCCCAGCTCTTCGGGCTAATGCACCCGCAGGCCTGTATCCCCCAGACAGCTAATGGCCCTCTGCAGGTCAGCCCCTGCCAGGCCCTTTAGTGTCTGAGCTCTCTCCAGCCCAGGCTCCAAGCTCTTGTTCCCAAAGCTGCCCAGCGCCCTGCTGCCTCCAGGACAAAGTCCCTGTGCCAGGCTTTGGGGACTGGTTCAACTCAACACGTGTCCAGCTTCCATGCTGATCTGAACATTTCTCATTTCCTGTCTGGCTGGCCGCTAGTTTCACTGGGTGCCTTCTGTGAGCAGGGTTCATCACCTCCCGGCCTGACATACCTTTCCTCCTGCCCCTTCCTGGCTGTGTCCCGAACCCAGGCCCTCTGGGGAGCCTCCCATGAGACCCCGTCTGGGCACCTCTGCAGTCCCAGACTCCAAGGGGACCATGTGCTCTCAGCGGGGCAGGGGCCGCACACCCGGGTGGGGCTGCCCTCCCAGCTGGGCCCACACTCCGGAGGCCCGTCCCGGGGCCGGCTCCCACCCAGTACCAACCTCTGGTCTGCGGTTGGCACTGCCCTCCTCCTCTTTCTTCTCCTCCGGGTAGCTGCGCACCTGGAGGGGCAGGCCCCCCTCCACGCTGTCCTCCAGGGAGGACGGCCTCCAGTCTCGTCGCAGCTGCAGCCCAGGGCCCCGGGAGCCATCGGCCCGGGCCCTGGAGGCGGGCTTCATGGGGCGGTCAGGGTCGTCCTCCTCGTCCTCTGCCACCAGCCGCCTGTCGGCCGTCAGCTCCTTGGCCAGCCGGTCCATCTTGCTCCACCGCTTGGCATCCTCCCACTGCTTGGAGAGCCGCTCCTCCTGCTCCTGCTGGGAGTGCTGCCCCTTCCCCTCGGGGCGCGGTGCCTCCTCCGCCCCAGTCTTCCTGGCTCCACCCTCGGCCAGAGCCTCGGACCAGCCTGGGGGCAGGTGGGGGACAAGAGCAGGACAGTGAGGGAGGACTGCCCTTCCCCAGTCCCTGCCCCTCCCCCTGGGACCACAGACCTGCACTCAGGGTCCAGCCCAGTCCTTTGCCACCACGTCGCACTTGGAGGGGAAGCCATCTTGACACCAGGTTTTGCAAAACCCTCTAAGCTCAGGGGCTGGGGGTCTGGCCAAAGCCTGGCTCTTACATTGGCCATCTCACCACAGAAGCCCCTGACCCGGGGGTCATGCAGCTGGGAAGGGAGGAAAGGCTCTGACAAGGTGCTGGGGTCTCTCCTCAACACTGGTGGAAGCTGACACTGTCCCCAGACCAACCTGTTCCCACCTGCCATGCTCTCCCTCGGTTCCCAAGAC